TGGTTATTGTTTCTAAAAGTAGAAGACACAGTATTTAGGCCTAATCCATTATTCAAAGATGTGTAGTTTTAAAATTCATAAGCCTAACTTCTTAATAACAGAGTGGCTATTAAATATCCATTTTCCAACTCTCACTTCCATTATTCCATACATAACTTTAAAAAGTAGATTGGGTTCTAAAATCACATTGCAGCTTATCCTATTTTTTAACAGAGCAAGTGAAAATGCTAAATGAGAAGTAAATTTAGTTATTAAAATCAGAAATCTTTATTTATTTTTCTTCAAACAAATGGAGAAATAAAGACCCTAAGGTTATTTAGGTATTTGTAGAGTACAGATATATTTTAATGAAGAAGAAATGGTATGCATGTGAGGGGACTAAGGCTAAAATTAATTACATAATTGCAGAAATACTTGTATTCAAACATAACTCACTGATTAAGTATACAACACTTCCCAGGTCCTTGTCCCCAAGATTGGATCTGGCATGAAGAAAGCTGTTACCTATTTCCCTCTGGACTATTTAATTGGGAAAAGAGTCAAGAGAACTGCTTGTCTTTGGGTGCCCAATTGCTGAAAATTAATAACACTGATGATCTGGTGAGTGTTTACGAATAATTATGGGGCTGGAGCATTGATAGCAACACAAATCTAGTTTAGGACCTGGGGGGAGAACCACTTGTTGGAGAGCCAAAATAGCTGTTTTGTAACATCAATTCAATCAAATCAGAAACATTACTCTCCACAGAATTTCATCCAGCAAGCAATCTCCCATTCCAGTTTCCCATTCTGGATGGGATTGTCACTGAGGAAACCCAACTACACATGGCTCTGGGAGGATGGTTCTCCTTTGATGCCCCACTTGTAAGTTTCCTATTCCTTTCGATACCCCTTTTAAATTTTCTGTTTCTTATTGTATCTACTTTTAAAATTATTGCCACATTCTACTATTGACCTCATTTGCCACACTGAACCTTGGGGAATTTGCAAAAGTCTCTTTCTTCACCCCTCTCACAAAGGGCTTTGCCCATTTACCCTTTCAGATCTCTCTTGAGCTTTCCTTCCCATATTTATTGATTTGAAGTTTTAAGACAAAGCTACGTTTCTGACACAAGGTGGCAGTAAATTTAATTTTTTTTTTTTCTTTTTTACCTTCTTCAACTGCAGGTTTAGACTCCAAGGTGCCGTTTCCCAGATGTATGCTTCAGGCACCTGTGCATATATACAACGGGGAGCTGTTTTTGCTGAAAACTGCATTTTAGTTGCATACAGTATATGTCAGAAGAAGGCAGTTCTACTGAAAGCACTATGAATTTGAAGGATCTGGAAAAAAAGGTCTTTTATTCTGGAAGTTAAGCTACTCTTCATCTTCACTTACGTACAAACCATGAGAGCCCTGAGAACTGCAGTGATGAGCTGGCTACAGAAACTGACTGGGGTTTTTCAGAAACGAAGACTAGGAATCCAGCTGCCTAATGCCTTTAGATCCAGAGTTGTAGATTCACTTTATTTGTCATCTATCTATCTATCTATCATCATTGTCTGACATTTTTCAGCTAGTGTGTCCCAAGCCTCCTTGCTAATTTTCAAACCTTCTTCCATTTTCTATTTTAAAATTTGGCTCCTCTCCAATCTTGGGAACCATCTGCTCAATTTTCTCTGCCTTCCCCCACCCCCTTCTAATACTGCATAGAAGACAGAACATAGAGAACTTACCCAACTATAGACAGAAGGCAAAAAAAAGGGGAAATGGACCTGGTAAACAGTGCCCATGAAGGAGAACTAGAGAAAGGCAGCACCAAAATCAAGAAGCTCACATTCTCAACTTAAA